CCCCCCCCCCCCCCCCCCCCCCCCCCCCCCCCCCCGCCCACCCACCCGCCCGGTCTGTAGAAGAGTTAAGATGTCCTCCCTTCACTGGCATCCCCGGGAAGTCACTTCCGAGTCAATAGACACAGCCTTTGTCCAGCAAGGACGACTTTGCAGAACAGACGTTTCCTCTCAGGGTGGGATGCACGGGGGAGACCCCCCCACACACATTTCTATCTCCTTTTCTGTTTAGAAACCGGCTCCCCCCCTTTTTTTGTTTTGTTCCCCTGCATGTCTCTTGTCTTTCTCATGACTTAAAACTAATCTGCCCAAGGTTTACTAACGATTCGGTGTCCTGCTTCTTTGTGCCTCGTTTTGTCATCTCCTTTGAGAAGAGGATGGGGATTTCCACTCCAATAATTTATTTTCTTTTGAAGGACATAAAACTGCAAAGGGAGACCCCCGTGGCCTTCGTCCTAAATGTTGTCTCGTGTGTCTCGGGATTTTGGTGGGAGGTTTGTTTTTTTTTGGGGGGGGGGGGGAACGGAACCCGTTCACTTCTCCTGCGAAGAAATCTCCCATCGGTCCATTCCTAAATCTAGAATCAATCATTTATTTGGGGAATTTCTGAGTGCCGAAGGGGGCCTTTACCTTTCCGTAGATAATCAGCTTAAATTAAAATTAAATTAAAATGTAACACCGTCATGTACAGTAAAACAAAACCAACTAAAACCACCCGATCTGTTCCTGTTTCTGTAGCAACCAGCTCCAAATCTTTGCAAGCAAAGAGAAATTGCATGCCAGATTCCTTGGTGTTCACCTTCTGTTTTAACTAGGGCAGGAAGTGGCCCCTAACAGTCTCGGGGCCACAAACCCGGCGATGTGCAAATTCTCCAACTTCAACAAGAGTTCAAGCACAGTGGGCACCCTGCGGTGCCACATTTCCCTGTCTTTGGGTGATGGAAGCTGAACCCCCCCCCAACAGCTGGAAGCCCCCTCCCAGTCCGTCTCCAGATCGTCCCAGATCTTGGAAATCCCGCAGATTCTGAAGTCCAATTCTCCCGTTTGCCGCGTCTTTCACGTGCTGTTTTCTTCTGTGCTTCATAGGCTTACGCAATGATGTTGACTCTTACCAAGAACAACCCCTTCCATCCTTCCTCCCAGAACCCCCTGGACGCCTGGTTGAACATGGCTGGAGCCGCTTCCGAGCCAGGAACCTTCAATGCCGTCGGCCACCTCTGAGATGCCCAGGGAGGTGGCCCCGCCAGGATCCCAAGCGTGGGAGGCCGAGGTGCCCGCCCGTTGGCCTCCTCAGCTCTCCCGGCGAGCGGAAGATTGGCAGAAGGACACCCCCCCCCCCGGGGCAGGAGAAACCCACCACGGACAGCTCCCTTCCCCCATCGGTCAAGCCCACCCACCTCGCCCACCTCTCCATCGCGGGAGAACGTTGGCTTCCGGTGAGGGACACGCCAGGGTGGTGGACCCACCAACCCCGTCCTGACCCCTCTCCATGTTATCGCCCATGTTGCTGAGCCATCAAAGATGCACTTGCCCCCAGACCCCAACCCTTCTCCCCACAAAGGCCCCCCCAGGCCCACCTGTCCAGGACTGCGACCAAGATGGTGACCTTCTACCCAAGACGTTCTCGCGATAAGGACCGTGTTGACTCTCTGTCGTTCTCCTCACCTGAGGTCCACGTGCATCCATCGTACCCCACTTTTCCTCCGGGGATTTCCCGCGGATTCCACATTTCCTGTGTCTGATGGACAACTCCTTCTAACAGACGGTTATTCTCTCACAGCCCGTCAACTTTTCTACCTGGGCTTCAAGAGGCAGACTCTTTTCCCTGCTTCCTCAACCTGGTGTCTTCTGAATCGAGAGGCTGGGTAGAAAACTTATTTTTAGGGGGTGGGGTGGGGTTCAACTACCTTAATTAATCCTCTCCCATCAATCTCCAATCAAGAGAAGGCAAGCTCGGCTCAGCCGGCGAGAGAGCCACGAGTTTCGCTGTGCCAAATTTTGCCTTGGAAGTTTTCAAATTTCCAATCCCCCCCACCCCCCCCCCACAAAAAAATTATTTTTTTCTTTCTCCTCCCCCGGTTAGGAATTTCTTTGGAATTTCCTCCAGAGATGTTAGGCACTGCTAGTGGTTATTCCAATTTTTTTTGTTCCCTGCCTGAGCATTCTCCGTCCACTGAAGGAGGATTAAAACCTTGAGCATTTCAGCCACGATAATCAGCAAACATTCTGCAAAAATTCTTCCTTTGGAAATAAAATAAAATAAAATAAAGATGGACCAAATTGTCTTGCATCCCACAAAATAGAACCTTCGTAGAGAAACACAAGAGAATCATATTTTCTAGCGTTCATAGTCCATGCCGTGAATTAAACGGTGGTTCATTAGAACTGTACATTCTTATTTTTATTTTTAAAAATTTCCTTCCTAATCCCGTTAGCTTCCCTCCGATCTTCTCTCTTTCCGTCACAGCCAGGAAGGTGCAAATAAATTTCAAATTTCGCTTGGGACGATCAATGAGTGTAACGTTGGCATTTGGGAATGTGGTTAGCTGAGCTCAGAGAGCCGCTCACAGCGGGAGGGGAAAAAAGCGAGAAAATTTTAATTTCATCCGGCAGTCCACGTTGTTTCTTCTATTTAAAAGGCAGCCTTTCTTGTTAGACTCCAGATGTGGAAGACACAGATGTCTGAACAAAAGGAGCATTTTCATTTTGTTGTACATTTTCGCCCGGGGTTTAGGGGTTTGTTTTGTCTTTTTTTTTTTTTCATTCCCCCCACTCTTTGGGTTTCCAGATTTGCAGATCTTCAAAATCCGAATCTCTCCTCCTAACTTCGCCAATGTTTTCAAAAGGGGTTCTAGACCAAGATCGGTGAAACCGAAGTCGGACCGAGGCAAATCCGGCCTCGGTTTAAGCCGGGCCCAAAATAATTGACCCGCAAACGGAAGCAATTAAACGAGTGACTTTGAAACCGTTCTGCTGAGCCCCCATCCCACCCCAACCTCCGGGGGGGAGGGAATTATAAATAAATGTCTGTGACTTCTGATCCCATGAATTCAACTAGTCGTTTCATTGGTTGTTAGCGTTGGCAAAGAAAAGAAAATAAACATGCCATTTTAATCTTTGTGTCGTCATCTCTATCAGCAGTCCTCACTTCACGGCCCATTTCCTTAGCGACTCATATGGTCTCCTCAGTCCCGAAGGCTACTTAGGACCCAGTTCTGGGGTATCAACAGCCGGACGGACACACACATATACACAAACACATCACTGCTGTTCTGACCCAGCTCCCCAAACACAACAAACCGTCTGTACTTAACCAACGATTCCTTTATTAAGAGCGCCGGCAGCGCCGGCAAAAAGTTTCTATCTCACCGCAGGCTAACAAGTCCACCCGACAGGGAGATGAGTAGTTGTCTGGCACGTTTATTCATCTCCGCCCCCTGCCTTTTATCCCCAGAGCTAAGGTGGGACTTTGCTAGCAGCGGTGGCTCTTCCGTCCTGAGGGCCGGCCCATAGATTTCCACTGCTCTCCTCTCCTCTGCCTTCTGTGTATCCATGCATCAGACACTGGGCCCAGCTGTTCCTCCTCTTCCTCATCAGCCACCTTCAGACCTGGAGGCTGTTGACCCATACCAGAAACTCTTTATATCAAATCAGAACCGTCTTGATTGGCAGGGGGTCCCCAAAACCTTCTCCCACGCCTTTTCCAAATCCGCCTGCACATTTTACCCTCCCGCCAGCCACTCACCTTACATTCCCCAGCCAGAAGAACCCGTGCAACTCCAACCGCCATCTTCTCCCGTTGTTAGACCAGCGTTGACATTCCTCAAAGAGCTAGCGTCACACCAGGGTTGGCTTGGTTCAGTCACTACCCCCTGGAGATCTTGAGCGATCAGACATGGCTGGAGACACCCAAGGAAGAAACAACCTCAAAGTTTGTCTCTATATTTCAGAAGAAATATAGGAAAGGAAGGAAAACTGGCTGTTGAAACCCCCTAGAGATGCCTCCTCTCAACTCACCCTCAAGTTCCACCTAGGTGTAAAAGTGGACTGCCAATTTAGGAATACAGACAAGAAAGAGATACGGGCCTCCTCTTCTTTGGACATGTGATTTTTGTATCGTTTTGGGTTTTTTAAATACATTTGAAATTTGAGCATGGGTGGCTTAGCATCTCCCTGGATCATTCCAGAGCCCCCCACCCCCTTTTTTTTAAAAAAGGTGATTATTTAACCAACTTTTCGTTGGGTTTTATTTTGTTTTTGTTTTTTAAAAGAGGCTTAGATAGATAGATAGA